CCCCTTCTCCCACCCCCCCCCGGGCCCGCCAGCGGGCGCGGGGAGGGGGGACGCACACCCCGTCCGCCGCCGTCTCCACTCGGGGGCTGCGGCGAAAGGGTTAAGCTGCGGGGGCCGTGGGGGCCGGGACCCGCCAGGCTGGGCTCCCCGGGCTGCGGGGCTCGCTCCCCGGGGCATCCGCCGCCCCTCTGCGGGGGCGAGGGTGAGCCCGCACGGGGGCAAGCTTTGGGGGGCGGGGGGGTAAAGCAGGGTTTTCTGAGAGATGCGCACACACACACACGCACGCAAATGCTGTTGGTTTAAATGTATGGTAGCTTTCTCTCCAGTGTCATTTGAATAATTCAGTGAGCCCCACTACCAGCTGTACTTCTGAAGCCTCTTCCATTCTTTTCAGCATTATAATTTTGGTTAATTTTCAATTTTAGGCCCTACGTCTCTGCAATTTGTGTATGAATAACAGAATAATTTTCCTCTTTTGTTTCGCCTTTCCTGTTCCTGAATCTAAATAAAGATGGCTTTTTAGTATTAAAAGTGGAAGAAAATTACAGGTAATTATCTTTGACGGTAAAAACGCTGTAATCAGCGGGCTACATGAAAAATTACTCTAATTATGGCTGCATTTAAGAGAATGGAAAAAAACCTTCTTGTGGATAAAAACCTTAAATTGTCCCCAATGTCTGCTTCAAATTGGATGGCACTGCAGCTGGAGGCTTTGTTCAGAATTGATCCTGGGGAGCTCTGAACCCAAAGTTTCACAGTGGGAAGGGGAAAAAAAGAAAAGAAAACATTTTTCCTAATGTAACAATACGAATGGTAGAAAATGACAAGACTGATCGGTTTTAAACCACTCTGAAGACTGACTGAGCGTGGAAGTTGCTCAAAAAAAAACAAAAAAACACCCCCCAAAAAACTGGTATGTTGGTAAGTAGTCTTTGCTTTGTGTCTAATTATAGTGACTGTCCTTTTGCACGACTGTATGTAGCTGTCATTATATGGAGCACTCTGAGGATCTCTATTGACTTCTGATAAATGGCTCAGTGGTTTCAAGGTTCATAATTTGAAGGATGCCCAGGTCTCTAGCCATTAATTCTCGCAGTATGGGGCACCCAGCTTGGATGAGGAAAGGGCTTTTCATTGTCAGTAGTTGCTGTGCTTTCCACAAGCCGGTGAGGCTGGAGCTGGCTGGACAGCGTGTTGTGTGCCTGGGCACCTCTCAGGGCTTTGCAAAACATTCCTCAGCTTGCATTGTCTGCTCTTTAAAAACAAAGGAGGGCGCCTCCTTTCTTAATAATTTGGAGTCTCCAACCTTGGGGAAGAAAGGCAGGGCTCTGGGCTTTGCCTCGGCGAGAAAGCTCAGCTCAGCTGAGCAGCGGAGCAGCGAAGTCGCAGCAGAAATGGCCGGGTGATGGGAAACTTCTAGGCTTATCTTTGCGGTCTCGAGGTCTCCTGTCTTAGCCGTAGCCTTAAACCCGACCACACCACCAGCTGCTGCCCCCCAGCCTTCCCCCCACCCCCCAGCTTTTCTGTCTTTGCTCGCAGATGCATGTGCAGGTAGCGGTGTCTGTGCGCGCAGGCGAGCGGGGGGACAGCGTCCAGCTGCCTGGGCTGAACTGGGGGGGCAGGTCGGGGGAGGTGGGCATCCGCTACGGCGGAGAGAAAGAGGAGCCAGGCGGGCGTTTTGTGGCTTTTACTCTATATATGAAAGAAGACAAAAACATACAAAGTATATGTACAACTAAAATTCAACAATATATACAGAAAGGTTGCTCGGGGGAAAGGTCCCTCTCGCTCGGGGTGGGGGGACTGCCGTCAGGCAGCGCGGAACCTTCCTTCCCCGGACCGCGGCGGCCGGTGCTGCCGCCGATCCCTCGCTCTGTCTTTTCTGCTCGTCTCCGGGAGGCTGTCCGGCTGTGTGCGGGTGTGTGCGGGTGCAGGGGCTCTTCGCGGGAGAGACGGTGGTTTCTTCTGAGCCGCAGCCCATTGCATTTTGAGAAAGCATGCAGGTTTTGCTTCGTGGTAATGTTCTAATCTTACAGTATATTTTCATTTTTTTTCAACCAGTTCTCCTTTTTTTCCCCCTCTTCATTGTTTTTTTTTAAAATCCCTTCTTCTCTCTTTTAATTTTTTTTTTTTTTTCCCCAGTCCGGATTTGGTGAATAAAAATGAAGGAGCTTTGACTAGTCTCTCTTTCATCATGTAATGTCTTTAGCTCATTAAACAAGTAAAAACGGCTGCCATGGTACATTCAGGTTCTTCTTGTGGGCAAAGTTTGTAAAAAGTTTGTTTTGACGTATACTCCACAGAGAAAGAGGCTGGTGCCTTGGAGTCCAAAGGAAAATATCCTAAAGAGAAGTGTCTTCTGTGCGCCAGAATGAAAATTGTGTCTTTCTGTTCAAGATCAATCGCTGAGGTTACTTAAAAAAAAAAAAAAAAATAAAATAAAGCCACTCTGTCTCTTTGCCGCATCTACAAGTTCACACAGAGCCTGTTAGCTGGCACGGCTTGGCAAAGCAGGGGAACTTCTTGCCATGTCGAGACGAGGCGTTCTTGGGAGATTATTTCTCTTGGACAATTCACATCATTTGTGGTCTCTGCATTGTGTCTTGATGTGGAGAAGAATACCAGTGAGAATAGCCAGGCATGTAGCTGTTGGGAGGCATATTGACTCCCTTGGCAGAAGCTGAAACGTCCCAGACTGGAGGCAGAGCCGGAGAGCGAGGGGAGAGGGCGGCGGAGCCGGGCAGCGGGTCGCTCTCGTGGGGGTTGCTGCCCTGCTTCAGCAGCTTCTTGAATTTGGAGCGCTTGTTCTGAAACCAGATCTTCACCTGTAAACCAAAACGCAGCAGGTATTAGGCTGCCGTCAGCACCCAGAGCACAGCAGGGGACACCCCGGGGGGGCCCGGCTTTTCTCTGGAGAAGGTCTTGAGAGCCCACGCCAGTCGGGTGTGGAGCTGGGGAAAGGGGAGAGGGGAAGGAGGATGAGCTACTGCTGCTCTCGGGCTCCGGGTGCAGCTGGAGAGAACGGGAGAGGCAGAGCGGAGCTGGAAAGCGAGAGGGGTGCAGGGTTTAAGCTGGAACGCTATTTTCCCTGGGCAGGCCAGACTGATCGAGCTGCGACACAGTAGGGTGCTCTGAGCTCTCCCGTTAAAGAGGTGTTAAAGACACCTCATTCAGAATTTTGGAGGTCATTTGATCGTTTGGGCAAACTGTTGTCAAACACGGGCAATCATATGATTTTGTGCCAGGAGACAGGAGCCAATAGACAAAGGGCACTTACAAAGAAATCGCGCATCCAAAAACGTGCACGATCAAGCTGTCCTTGCTGATGTGATGGGGAAGGAGGCACAATGGAACCAGGATCGTGGCTTTCTTTTCAAAGTTGTTTTTAAAGAAAGGAAAATTCTCTTTTCTCGGCGAGTAATGGGCTATTCAGACCGCTTTGGGTCTCATCCTGCTCCTAATCCAGCAGAACTCCCGAGGAGGGAGCCTACACTCGATGAGGTGTGTAAGGATCGGGCCCACTCCGGCAGATCAGCATTATTATGGAAATTATATATATGCAAGACATATAGACACACATGTTCCTTAAAATCAAGCAAACAAAGAAAACACCTCCCACGTGTATTTGACCTTGCAAACTTCGCAGCCGTAATGTTAGGGCATAAGCAGGGGTGCTTGTCGAGCTGCATGCCCAGGATCGGGCCCCTGAAAAATCTAGGCGTGCGAGAGAAAGCGAGACAGCGGTGAGACAGAGTGTGCATGCTAAGGATACTAAAATCGCATTTGTAAAACTATCAGGTCTATTCCCATGATTAATGTTTGTTGAGTATTTAAAAATCGCTGGCTGGAAGCGACTGCTATCAATGACAATGATAAAATCCTGCAGTCATTTGTTAAGCTCATAAATTCACATGATTACATTTTACCCGAATTGATCCCATCTATCCATGCACATCTCCACAAACCCCAGCCTGGGAAGCCTGTAACGCCTCATGTGTCTTTCAAGCTTAAATTAGCAGAATGGCACAGCTACTCCAACCACACTTAACTATGGCTTAACCTGCTATAATTTTGTACACGGCTGTCTTTGATCTTCAGATCTATTATCACCTTTCGTACATTTTGCCCAAGGGTAACCACTGCATTTGCGTTAGTCATCCAGGGTGAATTAACTATTGATTTTACAGGTATTTCCTAACATGTTCCTGCTTCCCCACTACCTATAGCTCGCTACGAGGCAGCTTTGCTTTTAGCTCTACCTCGGGCCCAGCGACTCCTTGCCTTTGTTTTGTTCTCCTTTTCACAGCTGGGCAACTGCATCTCGGTGCTGGAATTATCCAAAAACCAGAGGCAATTTTAAAATGTTATGTGTGGCATCAAAAGGGGGCATTTGCTCGCCAGGCGGCTGAGGGAAGGGCGCGTTCAGCTCCTTCTGCGGTAGACCGGTCTCTCTGTCGTGCATTAGATAAGTCCTATCACGTATAGATGGGGACCGTGTGCGTTACCTTTTCGAGCGTTCCCGTACAGAGGCCAGAACGTTTAGGGAGCACCGTACTTTGCTTGGCCTTTATTGCTCGAGCAGGATTTCAGTGATTTGGGATTCCCAGTAATTACCTGTGTCTGGGTAAGTCCTAATGAAGCTGCCAGTTCAGCTCTCTCTGGAAGTGCCAGGTACTGAGTCTGCTGGAAGCGATGATTTAAAGCCTGGAGTTGTAGACTAGAGTAAATGGTTCGAGGCTTCCGAATCTTTTTCCCTTTTCCATTGAATCTGATTTCACCGTTTTCAATCACCGTGGTTTTTTGCTGATCTGCAAGCAGAACGAGGCAGCTGAAACATCACCCTCCTTAGCTATTTAACGCGCGCGTTTTGGCTGCCACGGCTCCTAAAAACCCGGCAGCCGGCCCCGACGCCCCTTCGACAGCATCGCGCACAAACAGGCTCCGGCTCCTTAAAGGCACGCTGCGGCGCAGGCTGCTGCTTGGGAGCTACCGGGAGAAAAAAAAAACAAACCAAACCAACTGTCCGGGCATAGTGGGCACGCCGCCTTCCCCCCGGGGGAGAAAAAAAAAATTAAAAAAAAAATTAAAATGAAGTGCAGCGCTGGCTTCGTGAAGGGATGCCTGGTTCCAGGTCCATCCAGGTTTTACCCAGGTAATTGACTTCGCGTCGCCAGTTCGGTGGTCCGTGAATCACCGGTCCGAGACTTTTAACAATGCTTCCCCCCCCGCCCCCCCCCGCCGTGCCCCTCCGGATGAATACGTACAAAATGAGCGGCTCCCTGCAAAAAAATACATAAATCAGACGGCCCCCGAGCGGAATGCGACCCGCTCGCCTGGAAACTTTCACTCCTCAGGTGCTAGCAGGAATTTTGCCCAAAGC